CAGCTACGTTGGGATTAATCAGATTAAAAATATTAATCATTTGACAGCATTAAAATAAATAAATTATAAACGGCAGGACTTCTTACAAGCTCAACACAGCCTGCATGGAGATGAAGAGCGCTGGAACGTTGAAGGTCTCAAAGAAAATCTCTGCAGCCTTCTCCCTGTTCTTGCTGGGATTGAGAGGAGCCTCAGTCAGTAGCACAGGATGCTACAAAGGAGAGCAAACGGAAACGGTTACTGCTGCGCCGACACCTCGTCTACGAAGGGCAACCTCTAGACGCTCACCTCCTCAGAGAAGGTTTGCAGCTGCTCCTTGGAGTAAACGTACTGCCAGATCCTCTCCATGTCGTTCCAGTCCTTCACGATCCCGTGCTCCATGGGGTAGCGCACCGACAACAAGCCTCTGTGCTCCTGAAGGGAAGAGACAAAGACGAAAACGTGAACGACGTCATCCTGCTCTGAGACAAAATGTTTCAGTCACACAGCAGTCTATATTGAAATAAAACTCCTCAAAAAAATTAAAATAAAAAAATAAAAGGGCACAAGACATGCAGGACAAAAAAAACCATCACATGACATCTTTGCTCACATTGCTACAAGTCTCCTCAGTTGAACAGAGTTCAAAGTTGATGAGTTCTGAGGAAATCTCAGATCATCTTTTTGGAACGTTAACAGACACAGACTGGTCTCATGATGAAACATGGCACTGGTAACATCCTGATGAGGGAATTAAACTTGTTTAACAAATCCATGCAGTGAATGTTCTGTTGACTTTAAGGGTGCAGTGAGGACAATAAAACCAGAACAAGCTGTGTGTTTGTTAAACATTTTTCTCTTTGGTTTTGTGCACTTCTTTAAAAAGGTAGGTCTGGGAAAGACCGAAAATAGAGGACCCAAAGGCAAAAATCAAGTAAAGCCACTGTTTCAACATAAAAACGCAGTTTTAAATTGTACACGTTCACAGGTACTCATTGTGGTGTTCTACAGATAAAGTCTCTTGGAGGCATTTTTCTTAAAGTAATTTTCAATTTAGATCCAAACAATAAGCTCATCACTTATGTGTTTAAAATTCACACAATTCATGATGATGCTGATCATACCAATTGTAATCTTAACCATATTTAATATACGGTTTCACTTTAAACAGCCAAACTAAACTGAAACGGATCTAATTACCAAATGTCACTGACTGAAACTTATTGCTGAATATCATGTTTATCTAATCATGCACAGTTCACAGCTGCTTCTCTTTAGTCTAGTAAATCTTGTTTACTTGTGCTCAGCTGGTAATGATTGATCAGTTTTGGCTGTTCCTGTTCAACAATAAATAATGACTGGCTTTGTTTGTGATTGCACCAAATTTAGACTCAGCTAAAGCAACTGGCATTTTTTGCCACACTTCTGTGCTGAATGCCTTTTTAGAAGATATTTTAGAATCAAAAAGAAAAAAATTGTATAGGTCTTCTGGACGGGTTCTTCTTTAATGAAATGTTTCGTCTCTTCTCCAAGAGACTTCTTCAGTCTGAGAGTTTCAGGCAAAATTCAGGCTTTCAAGCCCTGCCTCCATGTGACTGATACTCA